GGGGGGGGGCAACAAAGAAAAAACAATCGATGCAAGAAAGTAAATGATAACCATCAGATTCACGGGTAATTAAATTAACTTTTACATCATCAGCACATAGAGACATGGTGTTAATTATATTTAAAATCATGGATAAACTTGGTAAAAAAAACCAGCAATATTTCAAATTCAAGTTCAGAAGAACAATTTAACACACTGTAACACTCTATCATCAATAGCCTTCAAACTTTGAGAAAATAACATTCACCAACGAAAGCACACAATAAAAGAATGAGAGAAGGGAAGGAATACATATATTTGACAGAAATCAAAGAAATTAATTCAGAACATCGAATAAATACAGTGAATGTAATATAGATGTCACTGGTAGTGGGGGGACATTGAGAAGGTCAATTCCTATGTGAGGAATGGAGAGCAGACAAAAAAATTCTAGATGTGTAGACTTAAGTTTTGAAGCTGTTACAAACATTTATAAGAAAATATGGATCAAAGTTATGGTGACCAGATGCAGATTATAAAGATTCAAAATATATATATTAACATAAATATACAAAATACGATTAATAAAGAATCTACTGCAACACAGGGCAGGGCTTCTTTGGATGAGCTAACCGAGTTCCATAAAATGGAAGGACATTCAAGTGCAGAACTAACCAAGGCATAACACTTTTAGAAGCCCATAAGATTTTTAATATATTTTATATGCAATATAAGAATTAGAAAATACACAAAACTTACCAGTGAGATAATGTAAGCAAAGCTTTACATCAAAACAACCAAAAAACACTGTTTTGGGAAGTTTACCTGTAAGAAGAGACCAGCGTGGAAAAAACAGTTCTCAGGAGGAAGCACAAACCGTGAACAATGCAGTTCATCTGTGTCGAGGAAGAGAGCCAAGAAAGAAATTAACTGGAAAAGAACAAAAATATCTTGTCATGTGGTTACCTCCCACACGGATAGAAAATAAGTGGTTCCATTGGAAACACTGAACTTCAATCACTGGGACAACCAAAAAGGTGCCAGTAATTAATTTTTCCTAATTTCAACCTTATGAGACATAAATATTTATTTTTTGTGCAAGTGATTTAAATATTTAAACCCCTGCAGTAACTATATCAAGCACCTACTTTAATATATACTACACATTTGATATATCTGGTATTTCCTTCTCAAGATACACAATGCTGAAATATTTCATGAATATCAGCAAATTACTTTAATGCATAGCAATGTTTAAGGATGAACTCATTCTATTCATAAATACACATTTGCATTTGAACAGCTTTTGCACTACTGCCAAGAGCAGCAGTCTAGCAACAAGGGTGACCTTGACTTGATGTCACATTAATTTTTGTACCACAGTACATGATTACTGATTGCTCACATTTTAAATGGTACGTCCTACATCTCACGCTGCCTCCCATCATTAACCTAATGATGGAGGCAGCAAGAACTTTTGAAACATCAGTATATTTCTAACAGGCTACATGACACAATTCAGAAGACAGCCATCTTAATCTAAATTTTCTGATTTTACAGCCATGGCATACTATAACCAATATTAATGACATCCGCCGTGAAAACTTCACATCATACAATATTAATTACATTCAAAATAATTATATCAGTTTCAGGTTGTGGCAGAAGAAACTCAAAGCAATAACATGCACAACAATTTGTGCATCTGTGTATAACTCACAGAATTAATGTCTTCAGAAGATGTTCCCATAACAACAGTACAACCAAATGTCTGCAGATGTGAGGTGAGGACTCTCTCCAATAACAGATTATTCAACACATGATATGACTCAACATGAGTTGCTGGAGTAAGGCCATATGACTTCAATGATAACATCATATAGCACATATCAATCATCCAGTCATTTACTTGATCACTATTTTCAAACGCAGAATTGGAAGACAAACTCTGAAACAAGCAAATGCACACCAACTGCAAAGCACCATTTCATTAGGAATAAATAATTGCATGTTCAGGTATATCTCAGTCAAGACAGAATTGTAGGACACCACAAAGCAAACTGCATCTAATTTATGTCTTGCTTTGCAGTCTCATAACAGACATTAAACTAAATACAAACTGAATCTCAGAAAGTTTATATATTTCTTCGTAAATTAATTAAAATATTTTACTTAAAGTATTTCTCACATACTGAATTACATATTTCACAAACACTGTAAGTTATATCACATATAAATTAAATGTATTTAAAATTATATATTATTTTATACTCATGTGACTGAAGAACTATATTAATTATTTAAGACAGTACAATAACAGAAGTTTTCCTTGTGTGGAAGAGAAATTTGTTTAGATTATATATGGTCAGGGTCATAGCTGTTAAATTAATTAAATCTTTTCAAGTCTTACAAACACACTCCACTAAAGAGATGTCCTCCTGCTAGATGCCTCAGACTTTAAGCAGCAATAAAAAGTGAAGATTGCTATCTTCTGGATTATTGCGTCATGGTGATGACCTGATGACGAAGGCAGTATAACCTATGAAACGTTGGTGGAAATCTACCAGACTACACGGAGCAATAACCCAGAAGACAGCAATCTTCAGACTCACCGTTGTAAAAACCTCAAATCCTACATAGCAATAAAATCACTATTTACACACCAAGGGTAATCAAATGTAGGCAGGCTACATACCTCACACCTCGAGAAACTTCATCCTGTCACAAAATTCATTGAAAATGATTATACCTGGTGAATGTTAACCTTGAGTTCATCAATGTGGCTAGTTCATGTGAACATTTCCCTTGAATGCTAGAGCTTAAAGGCCAAATTATAAATAGTGGTGTGCTGAAACATGATTTTCAGCACTGGCAGTATTAAACTACAACCAATAAATGGAAAACCTCCATTTTGGCACTGAATGTGTTAAAACTTCAAGAAAAGAGAAGAAAAACAACAGAGCTAAATATTACTCCCCAGCACCAGATTTCTGGTCCAGCCTCTTAGTGTACAAAAATGTAACAAGCAGGGTTACACTCTACAATTACCTTCTGCAGAATCATACGCAATCGAGCAGCTGTACGTTGAAGCCAGAGCTGAAATAGTTGGCGAAGGTGCAGATAATAGCTATAGTGCTGATAGCTCACGATCACAGCAAGAGAATATGGAACATTCAATTCATGGTTTTGTAACTGGAATATTAGAGACTGTGCTATAAGATCTAATTCTGGAACAATAAATATACCACTGTTTCTTTCCACTGGATTCACAGTAGCATCACTACAGCTTGGTGACATTACTAAGTTTAAACCAGTGTAATTCACTGTGTGAGTTGTTACATACTTCACAGACTTTGCTATGCACAAGTTTCTGATCAGACTGTGGCCCACTGTTCTTCTTGTGTCCACATTTATCATGTCTACTTTATTTTTTAACCAAACATAAACTGTCTGTGGACCCACAATATCATCCCACTTTGAAAGAACAACAGCAGATATTATATTACCTTCTTCAGAAGGTAATATATGAGAAACAGATGAACCAGCACAATAAACATTTGACAAATTATATTCGGCTGGTGGATTTGGCTTGAGTTCTTCTGAATACGTTATATCTGTTGTGCTAGCTGCAGACAATCTACTGTTTTTAGAAGAATCGACATGCATAAAGTGTTGTACCTCTTCTTGGGCAGATTGAGCAATATCTGCATTCATGGCAACAGACTTTAAAAAATGTAAAGCACTATTTCTTGAATCCGAATCTATACTACACATACTGCCACACTCCATCTTGATTGTACTTCTTGAATATGAAACCAAGTTTTTAACACTGCACTGGACTGAAATTCTACTACAGTTATGAAAGGATTCTGTCTTAACCATATTGACAACTATATCACAGTACGTTCTTTAACAAGCTACATAACACTATACATAGTCTCATCAAACAAATGTCAGTACCTTTCAAAAATCATATATGAAGTGTAGCTACCTCCATACCCAACATGTTTTTGTGTCTTAAAGCTTCAATAAAATGGTAAAAACTTGTCAGTTCCCATACCAACACCCAATTAGCTAATAAATCCAAAACTGCTACAAACCACAAGTCACTTTCCATTACATCTGGAATCGCCAAAAAGATGACACCCAAACCACAAATAATTACTATTAAGGCAATATACAACCCTTTCATTTCCAACAGTCTCATAACTGCCTGTGAAATAATGTTATCCAAGAAATACATAACGAACTTGTACATAGATGACAGAAAACTAAACTGGAATTCTGTACCAACAAGATAACACGTTACACAAAGATTCATAAACTACCGCATACAACAAAATAAATGTCACACTTTGCTGCAATCTTGCTCGCACACTGCACATGCTACAATCCAAAGATAACTACCACGATATGCGCAACTCCCAAATATAACTACACAAAATGCGGTTGTGATATTGCCAACCGATGTCAACATTCCATGGTGCCAACAACCCTGTCAACCTTGAATGATTCACGATCCGCGTCAATCCACAGTTTACATCTTACCACAGAGGAAACGCCGTTACATAATCACTAAAATCATGTGTGTAACCCCCATAAAGGATCATCTGCGAAAGCGTTAGTAAGCGAATCCAGCATACGATTTGTAGTAAGCGCACTAAACTGACCTTTGTGTTGGTATAAAGGTCTGTTTATATAGGAACTTAAAGATAACGACACGAACCCTTGCCGATTTTTCAGAAAATATTCAACGTTTTTCAATGGAACTGTTTATATTGACTCCGAGCTCTTCCACGAACGAGTCTCGCACAACTTACTTCTCCAACGATATTTTTCCTAAATCTCTTTCAGTTCACTTCCACGTCTCGTTGTATGACAACGATCTTCTCACGTGAAGTGTTATATAATTTAGTGTTTTCTTTTGAATTGTTAATATTCTTAATTTTTGAAATGGATCACGAAAAACTGATAGAATTGGTAAGGCGAAATGGAGTTTTGTATGACATGACGTACCCAAAATACATGGATCCAAGCATAAGAAAATCAATTTGGAATGAAATTGGAAAGGAATTAAGTACAACAGGTAAAAAAAACGTAGTATTTATAGTTGTAAAGGATTTATTAAATTTTAAGAACAAATTTTTGGTCATGATCCATTAATTTTTCTATTTCGCCACGCAGGATGTACACCAAGCATGTCAAACTCAAAGGCTAACACGGGCCAAATAAACATGGCTTAAGTTTGTGGGCCGCAAAAAAAAAAAAAACTTAAATTTTCATAGAAACGTAGGTTTATTTCGAAAAGTATAGTATAAAAAAAAGAACAAGAACAACGATAAAATTAATGTTTTCTTCCTGACACTTGGCATCTCTTTTCTCAAGTCAATACAAGACTAATGACATGGCACTGGCACGTGGTAGTAGGTGTATAATCGGCTGCTAGGATTAGTGGGGGGGGGGGGGGGGGGGGGGCGGGGCCGGGCCCCCATTAAGTTATACCCTGGCATTCGTTTTACAACTGAGGAAAAGCACGGAAAACCTCAGTCAGGGTAGCCGAGTAGTTTAACCACTCGTTGTGCCGACTTGGCCGTCTTTTGGGGACGGCCTCGGCTGGC